GGAAGAAAAATTGGCACAAACCTAGAAAACTCTTGAAAAAACCGAAAAAAAGTGAAAACGAGCGAGAAAATTTTAAAAGTTTGAATTCGCGCGCTTTTACTCACCGGGCGGCCTAGAAAAAACCTCGTCCCTAACAAGGGAAGTGTTTTCAGACAGTGATTCAGAATTTGTTCAAACTTTGGTCATTGGTACTTTTGGACACGCTGATCACAGCGCTGCTTTTATTTTTTGCCCCTTGCCCCTCACAAAAAAGTTATGGGCTCTGAAAGTGATTTCAGTGCTAATTTCTCACTGTTGGAGTGAATTTTTGGAGGGGTTAATAACAGTTGTTCGGAGTTTCTCGAATGTGAATCGGACTTTTGAAGGTTTCTCTACAATCTGAAAAAGTAGCCTCATTTTTCAAAAAAAAATTTTTTTGAAATAAAGTCGCCATGGGGTACCCCCTTTGGAAATTTTTACAATTTTTTGAAAAATTTTCAAATGTGCTAAAATGATTTCTAAACGTAAAGAACCGATAAAATGAGTCTTTTCATGAAATTTGGTATTCTAAATATTTCTGGAAATTACAAATGTGTGCTTTCTTTCAAAACTTTAATGGATCGTAGGCCTTCTGTAATCACCCAGTAGCACTCAAATCTTGTAAAAACATAGGTTTACATAATTTCTGACTAATTTATTACTGTTCCGCATCCAAACTGAGCAAATCTGGGTGGTTCTGACTAACGATTTGATTAAGAATGGTTTTCCAGCAGTTCTTCAAGAAAATTTCAAAATGATTTCTTGGGTTTTTTTTGAAACAAGTCAAAAATATTTTTTTTTTCAAATTTAGTAAAAATCTGAATGGAAATTTTTTCTAAAGGTTTTGACACACTTTGAGATTTCCAGCAAGATCAGAAAAAAACCACCTTTAATGTACATGCAGACATCCACATCCTTTTGATCTTTAGTACAACTGTGTTTCAAACGCATTCTCACATCATAGCCCTAAATTTTCAGATCTTTCATATTTCGAGAAAAGTTTCCAAAAACCTCAGAAGTAATTTCATCTCCATTTAACATTCCCACCAAAGTGAGATTGAAAATTCCAGTACCATCACCATCTCTCGTTTTCGTGATAACATCATCTCCATTGAATCTAAAACTTTCTGCAATGTCAGTAGAAAAAAAAAAACGAATACTCACAACCACCAATCCCATTCAATAAACTTTATTTTGTAATGATATTTCGGCTCTTTATGACAAGCCCATGAGAAAAGGGGGGGGGGGCGATGAGAATAGGGGGGGCCCAAGTCAAAAGGGGGGCCCATAGGGTAAAAATGTGGACTAAGTTAAGATTTACCACTTTTTTCTAGTTTTGTGACCGTTTCCATTAAAATTTCGTACTTTGAACACTTTTCATAATTTTTTGAAAATTTCAGTTTATGTCATTTTTTGCATATATTTTGTCTATTTTTTTGTTACTAAGCCTGGAAAAATCTGAAACTAGCTGAATAACTCAAACTACACTGTTACAATGGAAAAAATAGTGTTGTTCATACAAAAAACCGGCCTAAACTGAAATTTTTTGAAGTGACAAATTTTTGTGGAAACAAGCGCAAAATACGAAATTTTTATAGAAACATTCGAAAAACTAGAAAAAATTGGTAAATCTTAACTTAGTCCACATTTTCACCTATGCCCCAGGACTTCCAAAAGAAAACACGGCTAGGGGTAAGAGGAGAATAGGGATCAAGTTCTGGATCATTTTGGAAATGGAATACTCTCCACGTTATTTCCTTTAAAAAATATATTATGTAGGTCAGAAAATAAAAGTTAATTTCCATTGGAGAACTGAATTGGAAAACAGAAAGTAGATGCAAAAACATATTTATTAAATTTGAAATTCGCTCATGATCATCTACCATTTCTGGCAATCGCGCGGTTTGACGCATCGTCCGCTTCCCTTAAAATCAGTATTTAAGAAATGATTCTGATAAAAGTTTTACCTGGTTATCGCGGATATATCCACGCTTACAACGGCACATGTGAGGAATGCATGGACGTCCACACTTCTGGAAAAAATGGAAGAGTTTCAGAATTCGAGTTTCACACTCACTGGAGAAAGGGTTGGATTCGTGCAACTTCTCTCACATCCATTTCCACACTTGTACCACTTCTCACGACGTGGACAATAGCTCACTTTCTCTGGAAATAATAAGGATTCTTCTAGAATTTTCTAAACTATAGTCTTACCAGTCTCATAGGCTTCATCATCGATATCACTGTCCCTAGCTTGAACGTAAACAGCAAGCAGGAATAGGAGTGAAATAGTCTGAAAGTCTTATATAAATTAGAGGAAACTTTTTTTTCAAAACTCACAAAAACAGTAAACTTCATGGCCACAAAAAATGCGAAAACTGATATTTGCTCTTTGAGCCAACTCACTTTTAAAGGGGATTTTTTTTTCAAAAACATTTGAGAAAAGTGTTATTGAATTCGTCATATTTCTTTGATTTTTTTTTGTTCGATTCAAATTGTGTCATCGTCTTTTTTCTTTTTCAGAAGAATAGAAAACCCAAAATATTAATTTTTTTGTTTGAAAAAGAGGACCTGAGACAATTCGGAGAGAAAAGTTGGACATTTGGCTTCACTTCTTCTATGATCTTTTGACATATGAAAGTGTCTATAAGGAACACTTCTAGATTTTGTATAGGTGGACGGATTGTACTGTCCCATATCTGGATCTCTAATATTAAAATTCATATGTTTAAGGAATTGCCAAGTTGAAAAATATTGTCCAACGGGAGCTATAATTCTGGTACAAAATATAAGAGATGTGAAAGAGAAACTCCACGGCTGAAGGTTCTACAACAACAACTACCGTAACCTGAAAAAAATTTTCCGAATTTTTTTTTCTCAGTTTTTGTGCGTTTTCAGTCAATTTTTTCCCTTACAAATATTTTTATTTTCCGACTCTTTTGGGACAAAAATAACAGAGAAATCGACAAAAACCAGTGAAAAACATTAAAATGAATACGAAATAAAAATGTTTTTTAGGTTACGATAGTTGTCGTTGTAGGACCTTTGGCCACGGCCACCGGCTTTTCTATTCCACAGCTCCAATTTTTTCGTAAAAGTAGAATATAGCAACTTTTTAAATCGCTTTGGTTTTTTGAAACCGTACTTTATACCTCTTATAGTATTTCATTTTTTTGAATGATCTTTGAACATCCTTCGATTTCTGATTTTTTTACAATTCGTCACATCTTCAATCTATATCTTTTCTGGAACAAAAAATAACAAAGTTTTATGTTTATTCCTTATCTGGCCCAATTTTGAAATGCAAATACAATTGAACAGGTTGGGGACAGCAAACTAGAAATAAACCAAAAAATAGAGCGAACATACAATACAAATCTCCAAAATAGTGTATGGAATTCTTGATGATACAATTCCTCAAATCCCATTTAGAATGTTGATTTTTGATGAAAGCAGAACAGGGGAAGTTATTGACAAGAAGAACACTGGGAAGAGAAAAAAAATATGAGAATTAATTATAGAAGGACTATGAAGTGAGTAGAACAACTAGACGACAATTATGGTAGGAAACATTTCCCAACAGTTGGGGTAGAAACAACACAAAAAATGGAGAAGAAAAAGATAAAGGAGATGATGTAGTTCGGTATATTAAAAATAATAGAAAACCATGAAACACTGAATTTACAGTATATCATATTTTTCAAAGTCACAAAATAAATGGGTAAGAAGACAATTATAGATAGGAACAAGGGAACAAATGGTTACTATCATTATATGGACCATTATCTCGTCTTGAAAAAAGAAGATCAGAGATTTTCAAGAAGAGACAATAGTAGCAAGGTTCGACAATTTTCAGAAGCGAACTCTTTCAGTGGTTCCACCTCTCAAAAATGTAGGATACAATTGACGGGTAAAAAAGAAAACAAAGACCAAAAAGAAGGGGATGCGGACCATCGAAGCCGCTGAGGTAGAAACAGTTGCATAGTCGAGAAATAATTGTGCATAGAAACAAAGTCGAATCATGCTCATAATTTCAAAAGTTTCGCATATAAAATTGGAGGTAGAACTGGGGTGGGGACGAAGAGATTTTTTCACTAAGAAGAAGAGATTCTAGAAGAATTCAGAGGTAGATGGAGACGAATAAGATATATGTAGAGTTTGATTTTGAAAGCGAAAAAAAAAGTAACAGAAGAAGAAACAAAAGTGATTATTCGCAGAATGATGGGCCTCGCGCCACGTGGATAGTTTTGATGTCGCGGACGAGATGGAACTTTGACGATCCACAGGCTTGGCACGTCATCTGTTCGTTGATGGTAGCATAGTTACCCTGAAGTTCTAGTTCTTTTCTAACATTTTTAGTTGGTAGCTTTTTTATATCTTTTTCAGAAACCGAGATAATTTGTACTTTGGTATTTTGTGATTTAGCTACAGTACTTTTTTGACTTGTTTTGGAAAATATGAGTTTCCAAAAAAGTCTTCGCCCAGACTTACATTAGCAAGTTGAGTAGCGAGTTGATCCCGAACCCCGAGTGGTTGTCTGCATGTCTGGCAGACGGATGGGCAGCAACGACCAGCAGATACTGAAATATGTATATTCTGCCTGGGTTTTTAAAGCAAAGAAGCAACTGCAACAGCATGAATTTTCAGCGTTCCCTATCTTTACTATAGTTGTTTTTTGTTTACCATGGTGCTCCAGTTATTTTCCCACTCTGGAAGCTTCTAGAAGCGTGTATTTGCATTGAGAAGAAAAATAGAGAAGAGAAAAACAAAACTTTCAATGAAAACAAACCCAAAAACTCACCAATATCATAGTAATAGAGGGTTCCCAACACGAACGATCTTCCGTCGAACCACTCGTCTTTTCCACAATTTTTGCATGACCAATCCGACCAAAGACATCTGGCACACAGTTGTTGAAGATAGAAACGTCGTCCATCGAGAGAGATTTCAGTTTTTGGTCCAAATTGGGAAACTGGGGAGATGTAGAAAACTCCGTCGATCAGTGGATACTTATCGTAAACCTTCAACTCATCTTTGCACTGAACACATGGAATACTTCTGAGGTTGTGTGCTCCCAATGATTTCAGAAGACACAAACGAACGTCATCGCCTCCTTGTGGACAATCATCCTCCATTTTGATATGAATACCATTGAACTTTGCTCTCGGAATGATCGACAACAGATTGTTATAGTCATTTCGTTTGTGGAAGACACTTCCATTTACCCGGACAGTCTCATCTTCGAAATAGTACTGACGATCCACGTTGATTCGAAGGATCTGAAACAACAGCAGATAATGAATCTTCAGATTACTTTGTTGAATACCTCTGGGTCAATGCAGCATCTAAGCTCAAATTGAGGTCCCATATCCCGTTTTGGCCATCTTTTGTCCGATCGATTCGACAGAAGAGTGTTCGATCGCTTCCGGTACTCATCTGAATCTGTAACGTTGCTTTGACTGATTGCAACGTTTATCAGGGGACACATAGAGTTGCCAAAATCACTTATTCAGAGTTTCCAAGAATCAGAACAAAGAAAACTACCGTAACCTAGACAAAGAGTTGGTAAAAACAATGGTTGGAGAAAAACAACTTTCGAGAATGTTATTATCAAAAATAAGAACAGGTGTTTTCATAAAAACTTTTTTAGAAAAGAGCGCTTTCCCGATTCGTCATAAGATAATATTGAGATTACTGTAGGATTTGAAAAAAAGTAAGATGTTGAGTCGAATGAATCTCTTAGATGCTGAACAGGAATTACTGTAAATGGCGCAGTTTTTAAGAGATTCTCTCTAATCATATGGTGACGGAAAACATTTATTTTTGAGATCTCATTCATTACAAAAACTATTCCAGATAATTCCGGAGACTATTCCAGGGTTTTCTGACAGAAATTGGCAAGAGTAGCTACCGTACTTCCTCTAATAGAAGCCCACCAAAATCGTCAACTTTTAGCTCAATTATCTTAGTTCTTGTGAAAGATATAAAAAAATGTGCCAAATGATAAAATGACGAGGCTTTTATAGTAAATAATTTATTAACTGACAAGAGATAAATTGGCTCAAAGTCGACCGGTTGGGTGGGCTCCTATTAGAGAAAATACGGTATTCAAATGTTTCGGATTCATCAAATGAAACAATCGACTTTTGAGATCTTTTTAAAGAGTTTTTGAAGGTGGGATATATCCTAATTCATCACAAACACTGTTTTAGATCGCCCTATTTTCTAAAATTTCCAAATAGAAATTGGAATGAGTTGTAACTCAAAAATGGAACTGGAAATCTAGTAAATTATTCAGAACTGATGAAATGTGGTCCTTTTGATTTTGAACTATCTGTATAGTTTCAAACATATTACGAAAAATCTCGGAAAAACTGAGACCATATAATCCAATCATGAAAAGTTCGAATGTACTGAAAAAGTACAGTACCCCCTAACCCCTATTCTTCCCACTCTACACGTCACTATCTTACAGTTCTGTTGCTGATTGGCAGCGGTGGCAGCTGCCAGAAGCGTTGGTTTCAAAAGCATCAGCTGTGAGTCGTAGTCGTCTTGTTCGCCGTGTCGTCGGGGAGGGGTTCTGGTCTTTCGAACGACAACAACATGCCTCCACTCCCTTTCCTCTACCCCCAGTCCCCAATTGCTATTCCCAGAGAAGATGGGCGGAGCCAGACAAGGGAGGCTAGATGCTTCTGCAAGCTGCTAGACCTCCAGGGGGAACATCGAGACGGAGGAATAGTCAAACAAAAATCAAGTTGAACTAGGCGACGACTCATCTGGGCACCTAGAGAGTGTGTAGTAGTGAGAGGGTGTCAGAGAGCTAGAGGAAGAATTGTTTACGTAAACAACGGAGCGTGCCGCCGTTCCCAGCTGGCGCGGTGCCGCGCGGCGCCTTGCTGTATACGGCGCGGACTGGGAGACACACGTAAACAAGTAAACACTATTCTGGGGGTGCAAACAAGTGTGTCGGTGTCTGCCATCTGCAATATTTCGACATTTTGAAATACACCCAGTTAGATAGCGTAAGAACGGAAGTTCCTGATGCTCTTATCAGTCTGGCTTTTCTATTTTTAAAAAAGTGTACAACTTTTTTGTTTTTGCTCACAACTGATTTTCAAAAAAAACTAATGAAGGAGCAAAATACAAGAGGAAAGGAAATAAGATGATTCAGATAATATTATGAGAGAAAAACAAGGATGAGTCTAGAATAATAAGGTGGTGTTCGTGACAAGAAAAAGAAGAAGAAGAAGAAAAGATTATGAATTCTCGAATTCTCGGGAACGCCGGATTTCTCTAGAATGAGTTAGACATAAACAGGATAAAAGAGAGAACAGGCCAGTGTTTTCTTGGAAGACTGGTCTTGAGAGTCTAGGGGTTTGAAGATAATGGGGATTGAAGATTGAGTTGAATTTGATTTCGGATTTCAAACAGCAGAATTTTTATGAAAATATAGATTTAGTTTGGAAATTAATCTCCTATTTTTCAAAGCAGTTTCGAAATCTTGCTATGTGATCCGAAAACTAAAAACTCAGAAAGCTGAAATAATGAATTGAACTCAAGTTGATTTGAAAATTATGGAAAATTTTTTCAAACTACCGTGAAACCTGTATTGGAAGGGCCCTCCATGAGAGGCTTGGAAAAATAGAAGGGCCCCCTGTAATAGAAGGGTCCCTGTAAAAAAAAGGGCTCCTGTAAAAAAGGACCCCATTCAAAATGTGTCTTGTAATCACTAAATTTCTGTACTTTTTCAGTGAAAAAATTCCGGGAATTACACAACTTATTTGAAATTTGCTGAAACACCATTTTTTGATGAAAAACTTTCTAAATTGTTGGTGAAATTGACAGATTTTCACGAATTTCGAACAAAATTTTGTCTAATTTTTGATGAAAATTTACGGGAAAAATGACCGAAAAATTAGAAGGGCGCTTTCTAATTGAAGGGCCCCTGTAATAGAAGGGCCCTCCGGAGGTATTTTGGAAAAGTAGAAGGGCCGGCCCTTCTAATACAGGTTTTACGGTATCAATTTTCTGCTTCATTTTCGACCAAGTTATTGATGACTTATATAAATTTTTAGATTCAAAGTACTATGATGATGAACTCTCCTACAACTGGTTCTGTTGACTTGCTCAAACTTCTTTTTTTTCGCCTTTCAGCTACAGTATCTCCTCTCCTTTTTTCCTTTCTATTTCGAGCTTCTCCCTATTTCTCTTTTTCAGAAAAAAAAAGCTCGGCAATGAGTAATCATTTTCTCTTCAAATATTCCAGTTCCTCTTCTTCTTTTTCTCTGTATCAAGAGGCGCATACGAAAAAAAGCTATGTTAAAAAAGTGTCTCTTTTTTCTGCCTCATCTCTAACAAGTAAATGCATGGTTAGTGGAGAACAAGAAAAAGAGGCAAAAACTTGTTTTTTTGGCGTTCCGTGTTCGTTTCGTATATCCGCGAACACTGAAGAATGGAAAGAGACTGGAGAAAGGAACAACAACAACACTTAAAAAGGGAAACTCACTGAAGAATAGACAGGCTACGATTTCTCACTTTTGCTGGATGAAACTGGTTTGGAAACCTCAGGAGAAAGGTGTGAAATTTAATTTTTGGATATTCCAGAAAATCATAAAACTTATTCCTGGATGGTGGGTATGGCAACGAACCTACCGTATTTCCTTTAATAGAACGCTCGTTAGCCGGCAAAGTTAAGCTAATTTATCTCGGTTCCGGTGAAAGATATCCAAATATTGGCAACTGATGAAATGTTTATGATATTATGATAAATAATTTATCAGTTTCCAAATTTTTTGTATCTTTCACAGGAACCGAGATAAATTAGCTCAAAGTTGCCGGTTTGAGTGGGCTGCTATTAGAGGAAGTATCGTAATTGGTTTTCAGATCACTGTTCAGAAATGGGATAATTCAGATAAATGAATTATCGACTTTTCAACTCTAGATGGCTTTTATCTAAACCATACTGAACTAATATCCATGCTCTAGAAAAGCATTCTATGCTTCTGAAGATTCTAAGATCCTATTCTAACATTAAAATCGAACAACCATCTGAAATAATCTGAAAACAAAAAACTATAACCTGGAAAATAATTCGTTTGAAAATTCGAATTTCGATATTGTTGTTGATTGTAGACTTGTTTCAGATGTCTCTGCTGATAATAATAGTTTGGAGCTCTTGCCGTCATCATCATTTCCATTTGCCTCTCCACCATATAATTCTGTTGCGTAGGCGTCGTCGTTCCGGATCGTGTCGGCGTCGAGCACAGCGATGAGGCGGATGTCGTGGATTCTAAGATGACGTGGCAGATGTATGGTAGGAGTTAATTGAGAAGAGATGAAAGAGAGAACGACGAGAACGACGACGATGAGCGATACCTGAGATGACGGAGCTAGGTCCCGGATGATGAAGATGATGTTCGGGCAGATGGAATCGAGCGAAAGCAGGAAGACGTCCAGACGAAGAGGAAGAAGAAGAAGGAGAAGGGGAGGATGATGATGGAGGTGTACCTAGATCAGTTTAACAAGAAAGAGCAACTATTTGCAGATAACAATAAAGAAAAGAGAGAAAAGAAAAAGAGAAGCACATGCGTAGAGATAGAGACACTTCACATTTGAAATTTTGAAATTTCCAAATATAAAAAAAAAACTGAAGACTCACCACATGATTTTTTCCTGTCTCTGAACTGAAAATGTCCCATCGACTGCTGATGATGATGCGGCGCTACATTCCCGTTATGACTCCCTCCACCGCCCATACATTGTGATTCCATCAACATTGTGGTTACGGTATCTGCAAACTACGAATATTTAAAAATATTTTCTGGAAGCCCGGGAGAATTCCTGAGTGTTCAATTGCATATTCCAACTGTTTAATGTTGCAAATGCGCTCCGCCAATTATTTATATTTAAAATTTTTTTTGATCAAAATAAAAAATCTTACCTAGAAATTTTGAATCGAATGGAATTCGATTGGGGACGTTGAGAAGACTCCGATAAAGATTCTGAAAATTTTCAGTTCGAAAAGTTCAAATTCCTGTTTCTAGCTTAGAAGAAGAGGTAAGAAGGGTTTTAACCTAATTCGCGGATCAAAAAATAATGATGGGTATTTAGTAGTTAGTAGGAATCGAAAATCAAAAGTTTCAGAGATTTCGGAAACTCGAAAAACGACTTCTGATTCTACTGATGACGTGGTAACATGAAGTTGATAATCTATTGAAACAGAAAAGGCTGGCTCAGAAATGGAGAGAGAAGGTTTTTGCACGAGAGAGTGAGAGATCATATAAGACGAAGAGACGCATACACAGCAAAAAAAAGATGGAAAGAGCAGCTCAGTGAGCAATAAAAAGGCGAAAAGAAGAAGAAGGAGAAGAAAAAACTCAGACAAATGAATATGTACTTTACAATGAATCAAGTAGAAGATGATGTTGATAAAGAAGTTCAAATGATTCAAGGTTTCTCTGGGATTTAAAAAAGATTCACATCAACTGAATGCCTCTAAACGATGAGTGGAGTTTCAAAAAAGTGCTCAGTTGCTCTCATCTTATGACCGATTAGTAATGGATGAGAGTCTAGAAAGTGCGCTCTTTTGATAATCTTTGGAATGTAGTTTCAGATAAAGATGCGATTGTATATCTAATGTGAATTGGAGTTGAAACCCAGGAAGGAATTTGAAAAAATTTGTTGGTTGAGATGTTTTCAGGATTTTGAAAAAAAAAATTGTATTTATAAATTCATAAAGCATTAACTTATGCCTCAAATATGAACGAGAAAAATGTTTAATAATCATTAGGGAACACAAATTTTAAAATTTTGGATCCTAATAAACAAAACCAAACAGTGTCACTTCAAAAAAATCAAGGAATTGTCTTGTGTGCATGTGGCGGAAATTGAAACAAAAATGGGAGTAGAAGAAGAAGAAGAGAAACTAGAGGACACAGTGGAGTGAAAGAAAAAGAGAAAAGAAAAAGAAGTCGTGTCGCGGAGCATGAAGAGTGCACTTTTCCAAGAGAGTAAGGTATAATCAAGACATCTCTCTCCATTTTTTTTTCAGAATGTCGACACAGAGAGATAGAGAGACTTCTGCTTCTCCTTCTGCCCAGAGCACTCCCAGTCATCATCATCATTTTTCATTGAATAATGAGAAAAAGGAGAAGGATATGCTCTCTCCCTTTTTCGCCTTTTTTATTCAATTCAATCACTTTGAGACACCAAAAGAAATAGTGTATCAAATGAAGAGAGTCAAGAGAGAAATAAGAAAAAAAAATCTCATTCCCTTATCCGTCTTTTTCATGATGATCATCATCATTATCTATTTTATTTTCAAAAAGTGTATCGAAACGGATTAGCTTATATACAACGCCCTTTTAAATTGATTTTTATCCTTTTCCTTTTTCTAAAAGGGAATAAAATGCCAAAGAAAGACGAGGAAGTATTTGATACTCCAGCTCACATCCTCTATGGGTTCTACGATCAGGATTAAAACCCAGATTTTTAAGAATCAAAGCATCGGAGTTTCGAATGTTTAGTTGCACGAGACAAACAAAATTACAAAAGTGAAGAAACGAATGGGAAGAGGACGGCGAACGGAAAAACGAAAAACATGTTGACAGTTTTGGGTTCCTCCCCCTGAATAACATTTGGGTGATAAGTGGATGAAATAGTGATTTTCGAGTGTACTCTTATTTTTGGCTACAATATGTTGAGCACCTTTAGGGGAAGATGTGAAAAAGAGATTAGAATTTGGTGAGAAATATTGAAATGATAGGCTTCTTCAGGAAATGGGATCTCATGAGTTTGCCTGGTATACTATAGTAGTTAGATGGGGAAGGATAGAGAGTGCAATTTTTAAGAAATAAAGCACCTGAAAATTCTAAAGTTCCTATTAAATTCTGGATAGAAACTTTTAGAAAGAAGAAAAGTTGATGACTTCCTGATTGATCGTTTTAATTCCATCAAGAGTCAATACTGGTATCTGATAACAGATTAGTTTGTTTGAACAAAAAACTTTTTGAATGAAAACAAAAAGTTTAAACTTTTAGAATGGAATCTGAAAAAAAGAAAAATGGAGATAACAGGTGGGAACCATCCACAGCTGTACTAATCCGAAAAAGACCAAGAAAGCGTTTCATTAGAATTCATAGAAGCAATACATTATCCGACTTAGCACGCATAGAGAATAAAAGTGCTTGAGCTCATTTAGACGGAACAGGTGAAAAATTGAGCCAGCCCTTTTCTAGTATCTTGTGTGTCGAAATTTCGGTTAATCGACTGAATGTTTCTAGTAGAACGAGATCAAGAATTAAACTCTGGGGGTTAGCACTATGAATTTCCTGCTTCCTGAAAATCTAAATCAATTTTTCATTTCTTTTCTACTCCTTCCATTTTTCTGTCCCATTATTTTCAGCCATGGGGGTCATGGAAAAGTGAATATGTCACTCTTTCCATTTTTCGCCCTGCAATCCATTTCCTGTTCTTTCCCAATTTTCGTTTTTTTTCTCACTAGTGTCTTCCACCCTCGCCACTCATAGACAGAAAAAAAAACTACGACAACACAAAAAGGAAATGGAACACTCTGACAAAAAACAAGTCGAGAGAGCATTGGAGACGAAGAGGTTCTAGAGAACAATGGAGAGGAGCAATCAGCTGTTTTGACATGAAAATAGTATAGGGAGAGGGAGAGACGCAGAAAGAAACGAACAGGCAAAAGATTCATTTTCAGCAAAAAAGAAGAGGAAGTGAGAGTTTTCAGAAAAAATATATATAGGGAAGGGAAAATAAAAGCGAACACTTTTTTATAGCAATTGCTAATAGTACGATGTGTAAACGTAAATTTTTGTTAGGCCGCCAGTGGACCGCCACGAAGTATTTTACAAAACTCTTCAAAAGACTTCAATTCAAAAATCCGAAACTTGAAATTTGGTGTTGATGTGGCCTTAAAACACACATAGAATTTGAGATAAATGTGTCGAATTGGAGAAGAGTATACCGTATTTGCATTAATCAGAAGAAGACAGAAGAAGCCCACTCCACTCAATACGTCCACTTTGAGCTTGATTATCTCGGTTCCTTTTAAAGATATAAAAAATATACCTTTAATAAATTATTTATCATAATATCACCTATATTTTATCTGTAGACAAATTTATCATATCTATTATAGGAGCCGAGATAATTGAGCTCATAGGATGGGCTTCTGGAAAATTCGGTAGATATCGCATTAATAATTTTTCTCAAAACTTGTAAATCCGAAATTCCAAAGTTTCATTATTCGGTTCTTGGTAAGAATTCAAATTCTTCTGGGTTTTTCTTACTCTTGATTCAGAACTCTACTTAAATACGAAATTCACTTTGAGAAAAAGACAGTGTTGGAAATATTTCTCATGATAAAAGAAACACTCAAAAAACTCCAGCTTTAAAAATTCCAAAAATATGAAAAGGGTGAAAAAGGTTTTATGCTCCTCTTGGCCTTTTCCAGATAGGAAGTGCCCAGGATCCGGTGGGGGTAGACACTCAATCATTTGGAAATGCACTATTTGCACCTTTAAAAGTATTTTATGTACTATTGATAAGAAAGATGAAAAACTAGGTTGAAATCGATTCTGTTGTTGATGATAAAAGTGTCAAAAAGTTATGGGTCATTTGGGATGAAAAATGTTACGAAATAAAACAAATGTGATCTCTGGATGAAAGAGAAAAACAGAAAAATGGGGGAGGGGTGTACGGTAGGTGTTTACCTTCAATGCTCATTGTCTTCGTTTAATTGCTTTACAACTATAAAAAGAGAAAGAAATAATTAATTTTCGAAAAAAAAGAAAATAGTTCAAAACTTAAAACACAACCCGGGAAAACAAAAAAAAAGAATTTTCGAGTCTGTCTGCCTTTTGGTTGTGAGGAATGCCCTTTTTGTTTATCCCCCAGTCGACGATGTTGGGAGAATCGCGGAGCGACGACGGGTGGTCGAAAAGGGCAAAGTGGTCAACAACGTTGTGACGTGGTAGTTCTTGGTATATAAAGAAGACGAAGAAGAGCAGCGAATTCAGAATAAGGACGGTTTGAGGATTGATTTGAAAAATATGTTGGGATGATTAGGACGATGGAGTCTTGTGGAAGGTTGGAAACTTGAAAGTATCACTCGGGATATCCGTCTAGAAATGAAAACATCAGTCGATCTGAAATTTTCAGATGATCCAGAATTTTCTTGATTTCGTAAAAATAATATTAATTTACTCTGAATAAGCTTAATGTTATTCAAGTTTATCACACCTTGGAAATTTGGAAAACTGGACATTCCGTTTTTCAGAAATAATTAACTTTCAGAATTTCTAGAAGACTTTCAGAACTTCTAGAGAGCATTTTTTCAGTGTGTTTAATTTTTTTTTCAGAATTTCACGGAATATGAATTTTCAAATTCCCAAGTTACTGAATTTTGAACTTAAAAATTTCAAAATCTTATAATCTTATAATATTATAATTATTATACCTCATTGTCAGACAATCAGCGGCGTTGATACAGCGCTACACAAATTTGAAATTCAGAAATTAGGGATACTCGGAAATTCTGAAAAAAAAACTAAAGAAACTATTTAAAATGGTTCTTTTGAAAGAAAAGTGATTAATTTCCGACATATTTTCGATATTATGATGAACAGGCCACTTTTTGGTATTTTTCTCAGGGAATGAGATAAATTGGCTCAAATGTTGACGGTTTAGGTGGTCAATTAGGGAAGATTTTTAGAAACATATTCAACTATGATTAGGCACCACAACAAAATTTTCAAAATATACTTTTTCTCATTTTTACTGGTGGATTGTCTTCTCCTCCCTTATAGAAGTTTATTCCCAAATTTTCAGCGAAAAATGTTCTCCCATTCTCGAGATACAGATCCTTTTGTACCAGACCTCGATGTACTGACTTTCTCCTCATCTTTTTGCGGTGTGCAGAAATTTGGGCGGGGCTTATCTTTTGCAACCTCGCGGCACGGAAAATTTGTAAAGGAAATTTAAGAAAAAGCTAATAGACAGACAAAGGATTCCAACCTCCTTCACCCTCAGATCGTCGCACGCGCCCACTATTCAGTCGGCCACTCACAGGTGATTCGTGATTGACCAATTACAGATGAAGAGCTATAAACGACCCAATTACTCACCTACCGCAAACTAGTGCTTCTACAAATGACCATTCGCGAGCAAAATGCGTATCTTACTAACTTACCCTATAAAAGGTCTACAATTGACCAGTCGCGAAAAAATGCTTGTTTTTCCTTTTTCGAAGTTCTTTCACCTATTTCGGTTATTTTTCATTGTTTTTTTTTCAGTTTCCTTCGCAAATTTTGTCCGTAAGTTATTATTTAACCTACAAGAGCATACTAGAATACTGTCTCAGCCAGTATTTTGCTTTTTATTTGCAGAAAAATTGAAAAAATGGCCAGGAGACAAATGTCGGAAGCTTTATTCAGGAGGTAGCACTGCTACTGTACTTTCAAAAGGTAAGAAGCGTTCAGAAAGTCCGAATTTCAAATCCAATTTTTACAGAGAGCCAGGAAATTCTCAATTTTCTGGTCAGTCCACTGAGTACTCCGGAAAAGAAAAGACTGAGAAAGAGGAAGGAAGAAAAACTGGAACGGTGGGTAGATTTGAAAAAAAATCTGAGAAAAAAACTTTAGATTCCAGTCGGAAGTGTCAAATTCGCTGATTTCGAGAAAATTTCCAGCCGATAACTTCTGTCAGAGGTATAGTACAAAAATTAGTGGGAGCTTAAAATTTCGATATATCATTTCAGTTTGCTAACCGAGATTCTACAGCGTCTTCTCCTCCCCCACTTGGACCGTCATCGAAAAAGACAAAAGCTGACAGAAGTAGAAGCTTCGACACCGTTCCAGCCAATACGATGACAGCGGAAGAGAATAATATAACTTTTAATTAATTATTTTTTGTTTTTCCTTGTTTTTTCTGTGCAATAAACAATTTTTAGCAGCTGCTAGCTTCCAGATTCGAAAAAATATATCCCATTTATAGCCCTCGCGACAAGCCAATTGTAGGAGATTTGCTCGCGATAGGGCGAATATTGGTCGTTTGCGGTGGCGCGATTGGTCTATAATTGGCCTGCGGCAGGCATGTTCCGATGTACCCATGGCGATTTTCCGCGAACAATATTTCACCTATTATAGACGCTGCGCGAATCACCTGTGACGGCTGCACTCTGAGTGTGGGCATTAGATGGGAGACATGAAAGTACGGCTTTTCGTTGCCTGCCGCTTCCTTCCGGTGGTGCCTCAAATTGGCAAATTTTGCGCTATATCTTTTGGTGGAAAGAAAATCGGAGGCACTCACCTGTGTCACCCTCAAAACTTCCAAAACCGAAAATTTTGAAAGTTTGGAATTTTCGGATGAGTATTAAAACTACTTTAAGATAACCAACCTTTCTGAAACTTGTCACAGGTGTACACAAGGCTTAGTTTTACCATAATATAAGAAAACAATTAGGGGTCATCGCTGCAATTTGTTATGTATTTTGTCTGGAACTTTGGTTGGAAATTGCTCCACAACCGCCACAGTAGAAATTTGATTTTACTTTGAAATCCAATCCCCCATTTCATGAACTATCAGAATCCATCAAAAAATTTGGAGGCACTGACTTCCATCCAATACTTTTAGTCCACTTTGTCAGTGTGATTCCTGCTTTTCAAAGTTTTCGAATCAAAATAATGCAATTATCGAAAAACTGATAATTCCATTCGATTTATCGCAGTCGATTACATAGGGACAAATTCTAACTTTAAAAATAATGAATTTCTAACGCCCGGTACAAGCCTTCAAAAATGGGATTGTGCCGAGGGGAGAAAAATTTGGTCGCCCCGCCCCTTTCATTGCGGCGCCTAACTATGATTTTTAAAAAACAGATCCATAGTGAGTTGGTCCGGACATGTGGGCATGCAGTACTATTGTGGCTTGCCATATCTCAAAAATACCTGGAAACTAGCTGGAGTTTCTTTCAAAAACTACTACAAACATTCACAGACACATTGGCTCCCAGCAGTCTCCCCCTTCTCTCTTCTCTTTATCAATCGAACTTTTTTTCTTACATTGGTTACATTTAGAAAAAAACAGTAATTTTAAGATTGGAAAAAAAACTGATTTTTGAAAATTCCTTCAAAATTTGTTCTGAAAAATTAGGTACCGCTATGAAATCCTATCATTCGCTCTCTGCGAGTTTCATAACTTTTCCTATGAAACCGAATTCCTTATCAAAAACCTTTTCCCCAATTTGATCTTTATGCTTCTTCCAGTTGCCTGACAACATGTGATCAATGTGTTTAGTGAATATTGCTTCCGTGTTTTCTTTATCTTCTTCTTTTTCTCACTAACTCATTTAACAATGAATGAAATATGAACTTGGGATTTTTGTTGAGAGAAAAAGAGAGTTGTGAGACGGAGAAAGGAAGAAAGAAAAACATTAAATTGAAGAAAGTGAAAAGATATCTTCATGGGATAGATTTCTCGGGTAAAAGAGCACATCACACTGATTTTTTTGCTGTTTGAGTTGAGCCGCCCGGTTCACTTTCTGTCTTTTTATATACTAGTTTTGAAATCAAGTTAGGTTTCAGTGAAAATGAGAATTTGGGTTGCTTCTCTGATATTCTACGGGTCCGTGTTTGCTATTTGTGAGCTTCTTCGATTTCTAGTCATTAAATCTTTCGATAATCCAAAACGGATATCTGCTCTTCTGATTCTAGAGGTCTGTTTTAAATATGTTCTGAAAAAAGTTTTAATAAAAATCTGGAATTTCAGTTTATCGGAACATTGCAAATATGCGTTCCAATGTTCGATGTAGGCACTATTTTGGATAATTATGGACTATTGGGAGTTTTTGTCGAGATTACAGTAATCGAGTTGGCAAATTGTTATTTTCAAAGAGACGCTGTCGCCCATCCATGTCCATTGGTTCGTTTTGAGGGAACAGAAAAAATATATCATTTCTAATAAATTCCAGGTAACAAATTGTTATCGTAAAAGCAAAGCCATTCGCAGAGGAATCTACGTTTTCCTAGTTCAATTGGCAGCAGGTATCCACAAAAGTCGTTTTTTCAGAAATTAGTGAAATTTTTCAGCGTATTTCTCCTATTTCGTTGCAAAACTATTCTGGAGTTTTGGTGTTCATCCGATCCATTTGGAGCTTTTAGATCAAGACTCATGCACTTCTGATCTTACTGTAACAATAACAACGGGATGCATCATCGAAGGCGCTGCTACGTTTTTAGCAAAATGGTTCGAAAAATGGGTTGATCAGAGATATGATGGAGATACAAAATTGTGTTCTGTTGTCAATTGTGTTTTTTCGGGACTTCTTTGTGCGATTGGTTAGTTTTTTTAATGATTTTTTTGGCAACTTTTTCCCGAGAATTTTAGGAATCAACTATACTGGAATGTATGCCAATCCAATTGTTGCATGGGCCTGCACCTTTAATTGTTTGGGAGTTTCACACGCTGGACATCTTTTTGTCTACTGGCTTAGTCCATTGATAGCCTGGTATTTTGCAGAAATTGCGTTCGGATCTGAAGACGTGATTGAGGAGGAGGAAGAGCAAACAGAATCACAGAAAGAGTCAAAAAAGACTGATTAGGCAAAATCTTCTAAATAACAACTTCATTTCAAATTATAATTAACTTCAAATGTACAAAAAAAGATAATAAACAATAGAGATCACTGATCAACAAGCTTCTTCCCAGTATCGAATTGTTTCTGATCGGCACGTCGATTACCATTGACTGCTCTGTCTCCTCTAGCACATCGTTTGATCGCTGCCTGCACGTTGACTTGGTCCTTGAAGTGAACGAATCTGATAAAATATTTCTGAATTCTCCCACTTCATATTTAGAATTTGTGTTCACACCTGATAAACTTCCCAGTCACGTAATACACTGGCTCTTTGGTTTCCTGGGAATCTCGAATCACCGTCACATTTTTGAGTTGAATATTCAGATCAGAATCACAGTCGACAAGCTCGCCGGCAAATAAGACAGTTTATTGTTTATTTGTGAATTTCAAGCCCTCACCAATCACATAATTATCACCGCGTAGCTCAACTGCAACGTTCTTTCCTGCCATTCCTTGGAGAACAGATCCACATCCTGCCAAGAGTCTTTCTTTCTCAGTTTTTTTTCTTTTCTCCGCTTCCAGTGCCTTTTTCTCCTCTTCCTTCTTCAAATCCGAGTCCATGAGTCAATAATTTATTCGATCTATCTACAAGGATCTCACATACATAAAACATCATTTAACCTCTTTCTTCAAGAAAGAAAAGTCAACATTAAACCATCGAATGCACCATTCAAATACCATGAAAATCGAAGGAAAACGGGAAATCTCACTATTAACACAACACGAAAAAAATGGAAAGCTGATATTATTTTACCGAGGATTTAAAAAAATGGGTTCGTTGTTAGTTCGTTGAAATAATGCCGCGTATTCGTCCTGTTGTTTTGAGAGCAAAACATCGAAATTGACGACAATTTCGAGGTGAAGAAAGACAGTGTTATTTTTGGTTAACATGCAATAAATTAGTAGAATTTGGCTTTGTCCTGTTTGCTTCGTACGAATACGACGGCAATGATGATTACTGATTGTACGAGGATGATGAGCATGAAAATGGTTGACGACACACAAGAGACGTTCGGGCAGTTAGAAGATGCTCCCGGTCCACTCTGAAAGTTTAAAGCGGCTATAGAATATTTCGACTGAGTGTGTTCTTACCGTCTGAACTTGTGTAGCTCTCACTGTTCGAAGCTCGTTGAGCAGAGAATCAACCTTTTGGTGCATACTACTGTCGACACCTCCTCCAGCACCACCTTGTTGAATCTTCTGATCAATGTTATATGTCTTCGTGAAAATTTCATTGACGTATTGCTTCATGTCTCGCACCGATTGTGTTAAGTCGCGTAACGACGTTATCACTTCGTTCTTCTCGTGTTTCTGGAAGCTAGCACCACCCGCAACAGCAGCAGGAGCAGCTCCACCAGTTTGAGGCACTGCTGCACCTCCTCCAGAAATCTGAGCCTGTTGAATCTGAGCTAATCTTTGGTCCATGTTCTGCATCACTTGATGGATAGCATTTTGAGACTCATAGATCAGTCTGAGCTCGCGAGCAGTAGCATCCTCGTAGTATTTGTTTGGATCGTATTCATCGTCTTCTTTGACCTTGTCTGGATGTTGCTCCTTGAACTTGGCTCTCTCCTGCTCATACTCCTTCATTTGTCTCTCGAACTCCTCATCGTATTTTTGTTTCTCTTGTTGCGGAATTTGCTCAGCAGCAGCTACTGGTTTTTGTTGCTCATGGAAAAGAGAGAACACAGAAAAGTCGAGAATATCGTGGTCATCGGCAAGACCTCCGGTGGCAGCAGATACTCCGAAGTATCCGTTACGTGGCAAGAAGATATTTTCAGCTCTCATGCACAGTTCATACCGTGGAGTTGGCTGCATTCCATCATCGACATGTACAGTAAGAACGTTTTTCATATACTCAATTCGCAAGCGAACTGGGTATGGCTTGTTACGGAAGTCTCTTTGGCAACCTGAAAAAATGAATTTGAAAAACCGAAAACTTTTCTGTAAACTTACTGGATAAAATTTGTTGCGATCCGTCAGTATGATGATCGTAAGATCTGGTTCCATCATTCAGCATCAATGAAACTTGTGGGTTGTTCTTTTGGCCATCGTTGTCGAAGGAATCAAGGAACAATCCCATTCCAGTCCAGAAATCATTAGCACCAAAAACTGGTCCAAGAGCTCCAAGTTGAGAAGTGTACCAAATTCCTAGTCCATCAGCTCCAACACGACCTTGTCCTCCTATTTTCAAAGAGATGTCAACCTACAAGATTTTGCGTATTATAAATAAAACTCTGATTATCGCTTACTTGGAAGTTTTCACTTTCCACGAATGCTCTCTTGTTCCATGCAATACCTTTTCTGCTTCTCATTGATGGCGCCAAGCGTAGTTGCTCTCCAGAAGCAATAGCATCACCACTAACCTGAATTAGGCTACTTTTTTCTAAAATTTGAAAGAGATCAAGCTTACAATCCAGAATGGGATAGATCCATCACGCTGAGATAGGTTGGGAGCACGGAAGGAGTGCTTGTATTCGAATCTGAACATTGATAGCTTCATGAAGACATTTTCGAGATCTAGTGGGGTTATTCACCAACATGTAGAGAAATGCAGAGAAAATACGAAAAATTCCGCAGAAATTCGGAGAATGAACCAAACTGGCTGAAATTTCGGAGAAAATAGGAGAAAGTTATGGCGAACATATTCACAAAATTTGGGGTCAAAATATTCATTTTGAAAGTTTTGTCTGAAATTCAAATTTTTCATAATTTTCTCATATGTTCTCCGAAATTTCAGCCAGTTTGGTTCATTCTCCGAATTTCTGCGGAATTTTTCGTATTTTCTCTGCATTTCTCTACATGTTGGTGAATAACCCCATAGAATTGACTTACTTTTTGAAAACCGGATTATTTTGTGCTCTAGCAACAATGCAAACTATCAGCAGCACGAGTAGAACTCGTGTTGAGGTCATCTCTGAAATCGGGATGTTTGCTTAGAGAACCAAAATGCTAATTTCGTGTGAAAATCGGCAACAAAACTGTATGAAAAGCTCCATAACAGACCAACCGTACACGTCGACGCTTGGCGTCTGCGGACACAGAAATGTACGCACATTTGCGGACAACAGAGGTACTTTCTGTGAAAACGTTTTCCGAACGAGTTCCGGTATTATTGTCGGATTAAAAAAAGTGACACCTGAAAATCTCGGAGACGGTTCTCGTGTCGATTTACGAGGGGGCGGAGCGAAAACGGATACTGTAGATAACAAATTTATTTATGTGAATTCAGTCGGATTTTCTGAACAAAATTTTGATTTCTTGATATAAAAATGATCGCCAGCAGCTCTAGAATCTATTTTTCCGCAAAAACCTAAACTTAAACGCGAAAGTAGCTCGAACGAGCTGAAATTCTGAAATATTACGTTTTTGTCGCACTTTTTCGTAGATCAAAAAAAGCAAAAGTTTTCAAATTCTCAGGTGTCACTTTTTTAATTCGACAATAAATACTCTTGTCCGAAATCATGGCCTCCCGCACAAGAAATGCGCCTTCGCAGAGAGATTTTCTCTAGCGCTCTCTCCTCTCTAGTTTACAACAGGAATTACTTTTAATGCAGATTTCGCCAAAGTAACTCGATTTGTTCGAAGTTTTGAATGTTTTGAATGTTTGAAACTTGAAGTATCCCACCTTTTTCACTCATCAGGCTTCAGTTACTTTTCCTCTTCAGTTTTTCTTGGATTTATCTCTGTTGCTCGTTGTTTAATCGCTCTTCACTTCACTTTGATAAGCTAAAAGTATTTTAACTGATTCTTCGAATTTCTACTAATTGCAATATGTTCATCCCAGGGATGAAGACAAATATTATTTTTCCTTAAGTATTATCTTTTCTGGCCATTTTTCCAGTTGAGTTATTGTTAAACCCTCTTCGCGTCGCCTTCTTGTGGACGTAATCTGTGAATACTTATCTCAAAATGTATAGTATTGATTTCCAGGTAATTCAAGCGAATTCCCGGAGCATGCGGGCAGAAAGGCGTTGATACCGAACTTCCAACAACTGATACCGGAACGCATCATTGCGGTTAGTCACCCCAGAACTTAAAATGCTTCTGTGTCAAAACTTTCAGGTTTCCCTGGTGTCAACAGCTACGAGTGGATTCAATCACCCCTTCGTTAATAGCTTCGTTTCTTCAACTATTCTACCAGCATACGCATCTGGAACTGAACCTCCTGCTTTCATTTTTCTGAAGAGATCAGAAAAACTGTTTCGAGTAATCCTACACAAAAATGAAAGCAAGAGTTAAACTTCGAGGAGTGCGTTTTGTTTCATCCATTATATATCTCTTTACCTTTTTTTGTTTCTTCCTTTTTCTTCCCTGTTTCTCTTTCTTCAAGTGTTTCAATAAAAATGTTGATCTTAAACTTTCTGTTGCTTCAGTATTATCCATGGGACTTTAGAAAAAAGAAGCTCAGAAACGAGCAAGAATTAACTTTTCAGGTCACTCGAAAAATACGAAGAATCATTAGTAGATGCGGAAAGTGAACGTTGGTTGTAAATAATCCATTACGTTCAACTATCAACTAGATTGATTAAGTTGATTGGAAAACAGTGTAGACAAAAAAGTTATACCTTGAGTAGTGTAAAATATAGCACCCTTTCTTAAGACTGACATTCAACTTGGGTCTCAATCATCTCAGCTCGAGATCTCAGTTTCTACGAAAGATTGTTAAAACAGTTGAAGTTCCAAGAAAAGTCCAATAAATTAGATTATCTGGAAGGCATGTATTTTTAATAATCATTACACCGTATTTCTTCTGATATAAGCCCACTCGAACCGTCAGCTTTGAACTCAATTATCTCGATTCCTGTGAAAGATATCAAACATTTGTCGACTGAGAAAACATTGTTCATTTTATGGTTAACATTTTGTTAGTAGGCCATTTTTTGACATCATATACAGGAACCGAGATAATATAGGTCAAAGTTGCCAGTGCCAAGGCTAGAGTGACTGTGACACACTGCCATCTTTGACCAAGCTTAACTCGGTTCCAGTGAAAGAAATCAAGAAGTTCTCAACTAATAAAATGTTTATTACAATGTTATTCGTACTTTTACAGTTGATCACTCTTTGAGACCTTTCACAGGAACCGAGATAAAGTAGTTGAAAGTTAGAAGCTCTAATAATATCACATTGAGCTCAATTATCTCGGTTCCTATGAGAGATATCGAAAAGTGGTTAACTGATCAAATATTAAGGACATTATGATTAACATTTTGTTAGTAGACCACTTCCTGATATCTCTTACAGCAAATGAGATATATGGGCTCAAAGTTTAAGAAATGTATGGTTCGGCTCATGAGTCACAGCTCGCCTGAAAATGATCTGAACTATTTCATATTTTTAGAGGATGTGTATAATGAGTTGATAAACAAAATCATAATATCACATTCAAAATTGAGAACAATACTTTTTCACAAAAACTCCCATTGGCTGAAAGCCAAGTTCCCATTAAGTTTTTTTCTTCTCAAAACTCAGTTAAAAAAACCGTTAATTAACTCATGATTCACATAATCTAAAAATTTCAGTGAGTTTGGACCAATGCGAGTTATGGCTCATGAGGCAACTCATACCTTCTTTGCTCGGCAAACACATCACAACTCAATAGCCGATTTTTCAAACACCCTCAAAATTACTTTTTCCACAGATTTAAGTATTGTTATAACAGTGGGTTCGATCCTCATTCAAAAACCGTTCAGAATAAACGCCTGTCTTCGTTGTTTGTAAAACTACAGTACTCCAGTAGTAAAAAACCGGACCTTTTAAAATGATGATAACTTTGTTCACACTTCACTAAATTTTTTGATTTAAAGACCTAAATGTTCAGTGATATTTTTACTACAATTGTTCCGTTTTCTTTTCTCGAAAAAGCTCTTACAAGAGATTGGAAAAACTTCAAAAAAAAAACCGACTGGTAACTCATTTAAAAAACATCAAAAACTGGTGAAAATTTAACAGTAGTTTATTAAAACGCTAGAGAAACACAATTTATCTATAGTTTTCGAATTTTTCACCATCCGCTCATATGACAGCTCGATTTCTTACGGCCAAGAGTCGATCACGGCAAGAATGCTTTTTGGCTGAAGATCCTCCACTACAATTGTTCCGTTTTCTTTTTTCGAAAAAGCTCTTACAAGGGAAGGTTTTTTAGACAACGGTTGAGAATTTGCTCAAAATTTGCATACTTATAGTTTAAGACATGCTCTATACGATGACGAAAAAATTTTTAGCCCGTTCTCACTCCCAGGCCGAAAAACTTTGTCTGAAATTTTGGCCAGATTTCGGTGCGCTGGGAATTTCGGCTTCCCCTTCGCTCCTCTACCAATTCCGCGTGAGAGGAAAATATCGGTTGTGTGGTGTTGTGGTGATTCCAAGTTTGCCCCCCTAGGCACTATATCTCAGGTAAACGATTCGGAATTAGATCTGGGTTCGTTCGTAAATAGAAGTGGCATGATCTAATACAGAATTTAGCTGATCTAATTCCGAACGAACACCGAATGAACTACGAACGAATCAGATCTAATTCCGAACAGGCCGGCGGGATTTCGGAGCATCGTAGCGCGCGCTTTTCAAATTTTGTTTTCTTTTTTATCGCCGGTTGCTTCATTTATGATAAAATTTATTTTAAAAAAGGAGAAAAAAAACCAGATAATAATAAAAAAGGAAAACAACCAAATGAGTTGGGTACAAATGAAATGGATTTTGTAAATGAGATCAGAACAAGGCACTGACAACAGTAAATGATGAGATAACAGAGAAAAGAATGAAAATGTGATTTAGGGGAAAAAGATAGAAAAAAGTTGAAAAATGATTAACAAGGAGCCATTGGAGCCGGAGGAAAAGGGTAGAAGAGGGGAGACAAGAGTGGTTTAAGCATCATTGGGTCCACTGGTGCGCTGTTTGCCGATTCTTCGCATGTCTTCTCTTGATTGGTTCCTGAAATATAATTTTTCGGAGTGAATGTAGAAAGACCTTCTCGACTTGTGTAAATTGAGCTCACTATCAGAGAAATTTATCATCTATTTTTTTTCTTGTTTTTTTCGGTGATCCCATGCATTGTTTTTACGTAATCCTTTAAGCTGAAAAGGGCAAAAATTATCTTACCTGCAGAGTTTTCTCCGAATTTAAAATCTTCAAAATATTCGTATTTTTGTCGGTTCGTAGAATTACTGTCTTCTATAGAAGTCGTATATATAAATTGAACTTTGAATATTCAGCTGTCCCTAAAAAAATTCACCTAAAAATTTGCAAAAACTTGCACAACACATTAAAATATGTTCCAGAAAATATAGTTTAAATAATTGAGCGAAAAAAAAGGCAAAAGTTGAGAGAAAAACCCATTTTCCTGACGAAAAAAATTTAGGACAACAAAAAAACAAAACAATTCATCCGCGGCAGCTGAGTCATTGATGGCGCATTTCTCGTGTCAACTTCGGTATTAGATCTAGTCCCGATCTAATTCCGAATGAAGTCAGATCTAATTCCGAATCGTTCACCTGAGATGACAATTTTTGATTAATTTCAAAAGTTTTCAATGAAAAAAAGATTTCATGAGAGTTTGAGGAAAAAATAGATCTTTTCGACCGGTTCTTACATCCTCGTATTGTTAAAAACGAAAATTTCAGTCACTGAAAGTTGCTCAATTTTGCTCTTTTTGAGGTGGAGTACTGTCAAATCAATCACATACAAGATTCGAACCTATTTCTATAGGTTTCAGTTAAGTTCAAGCAATATTTCAGAAATTAGGAACTGTCAAAGTTCTAACAACAATCAGATTTTGGAGATTTTTTGAGCCCAAAGACAACAGTGTGCTGAAAAAATCTGTCAGAATGCTATTTTTATCGTTTCTGAATAATTGGAACGTTTTTTCGCACTTTTCAAAAAATCATTTTCAAAGTGTGGGGGACCCCATGGTGATTTTTTTCAAAATTTTTCAAAAAAAATTTTTTTTTGAAAATGTTTAAAAGTTACTTTAAAAGATAGAAAAATGTCCAAGAAAGAGTTTCGCACTCAAGCAAATCCTGAAAAACTAATTTTTAACCTCGAAAAATGCATGTTTTTGGCCAAAATTTAGTACTAAAAGCACTTTCAGAGGCCATATTTCGGCTCCTTTTGAGAACGGGCTAAAAAATTTTTTGGATTCGGATTCAGCATGTCCGAAAGTACCTTTGTTCAAATTTTGAGCAAATTCTCAACCGTTGTCTGGAAAACCTTCCCTTGTTAGAAGAAATTGGAAAAACTTCAAAAAAAATGGTATTTTTTCACATTTTGTACTGATTTTTGTTTCGGTGATAACTTTTTTCATTCTGAAGCAAACGAAACAAACTAAATTGCAAAAAAAACACTTAAACAATTCTTCAAATTTGTCCCGTTTCCGATTTTTAATTTTCTTAGTACGTTGTCAACATCGACAAATGATTTCTCGTGCGGGAGGCCGTGATGAGAAGAAAGAAAAGACCACGAGAAGGTTTTATTTATATATTCGGAGAAAAAAAAACGAGTCACAGGAAAAAAAAAGTTACAGTCAGCGGTATAGTTACACCTTAGATACATTGATGAAGCTCATTATTCGTGATGCACCATGATGAGAATTTCAAGTAGTTGAACATCAAATAAATATTGAGAGAGCGTTTTAGGAGTTAAACTCGCTGAAAAAGTATACAGCTTCGCTCAAGTCAGGGCCTACAAGAATAGTCAGTTCGCGAACTTTTTGTAGAAATTCGTTGTTGTCCGCAATTTCTGGAAAACGGATAAGAGCCTGGGCGAACGTGAGGATCTCTCTTTTTGAATATACGAGGATATCATCAACAGCTAGTGGAATCTGTTGAGGTTCTTCTGGTCGGAACTCTGTGAATCCATTGCTATTGGTAGACTTATCCAGAAGCTCTTTGCATGCATCAAATGTGAGCCATGTCTTGGATTTCTCGCAGAGCAAATCGCTAGGGCGAAATTTAGCCTTGTATCGCATTTTGGGACACGAGTGAATGTAGTAGCCCATATAATAGTACCTCAGGGAAGGACATATTTGTTGGAATCGCTTCGTGACATCAATTTCTCTGAAATAAATAAAAACATAGTTTCGAATTTGAAGAGTAACCTTCACCTCAAAGCTGTATAGGTACCAAGAGAAAGAAAAGAATAATCTGGGTCATAAAACATGTACTTTGCAGAAACACACTGAGGAAGGACATCCAGAACGGAAACCGCGATAATTTTTTCATCAAGCAGGAACCACATATGGAACGATCCTAATTCTACTCTGAAATATTTTCAATAGACTACTGGAATTTCAGTAGAAATTATTACCCATCACGTTTCTCGATGCTCAATGGTGAATCACACAAAAATTTTCTAAATCCAGCGAATCGGCAATGATGGTCGTTGTGAATAGTCGTTTGATACCTTTTATAGAGATCGAAAGATTCGTTGCTTCTTTCATCAAATTCTCTGCTATCTACCGGTATGATCTTGATTTCCAGTTTGTGCTTCCAATCTGGACGAGCTTCGTCAATGTAGGATTGGATAGTTCTCTGTCGTGCAGCATCTTTAGCCTTACGCTCAGCTCGAACCTCTTCCGGATCCAAGTTTCTTTGCTGACACTTTTCTAAGAATCTGAATTTTTTAAAAAACTGATTACTGATTAGAGATTTTTCAAGCAGATCTAACCTCTTGTTTAGAATCTCTTTTTTTGTAAGTACCGGCCTATCAGAGTCTTTCATTTTCTTCGAAGGAGGCTCCTGGTGTGACGTGGAAGTGGTTTCGGCAGAAGTCAGGCTCGATTTTTTTTGGTTCTGAAACAAATTCGAACTTTTAAAAAATAGAATCCTTAAAGCCAACCTTTTCAACAGAATCTTCCTCTTTTATTCCACAGACTGGTCGTTTTCCAGTAGCCAAAAACTCATTCATCTGACGCATTGCTCGCTTTTGACTCCGCGACATCTTGAATTTCGTGACATCCAGTCGGATCGTAAACTGAGGGCAGCAAGTCAGACGATTGTTTGGTTTGTACAGATATCGTCCTGATCTGCAAATTTCGTCATATAAAGTAAGGAAGAGAGTAAAAACATATGGCCGAAAAACAGCAAGCCCACCTTCTCCAGCCCATATCCAAAAGCCTTCCATAGTCCTTTGCATTCATATTGTGAGCCCATGCACCGCCTGTAAGAGTGTAACTGTTCTGAAGTGAACTGACTATGTTTTTGTATAATTTCTAAATATATCGTAACATAATAAAAGTCTTGTGTCGATGATTGGTAGGGGCTGGGAGAAGAACTGAAGAAGGTGGTTGCCAATTGAAGTAGAATCAAGTAAACTTACGTGCTCCAACCAGCCGCTTCAAACCGCATCATATCATCATGAGATATTTGGACAATTGAGAGTGCTGAAGTAGATCAAACTAGGTATTTTTTCGAGCATTCTAATCTCAAAGATTCAATTTCTAATAAAAATTATTTTTTTTTCTTATCACAATATTCTCATACCACTAGTCACCGAACTGTCTGGAGTTCTCTCTCCTTGCTCATTTTTACAGTAACCGCAGCTATTACGATCATTGGTAGTGAGGTATTCGAGAAAAGAGGTCACCATAACACCTGAAATCGAACTTTAAATTAATAAATGAAAAAATAATGAGTACAAAGAAATCGTCGGACGGTGTACATCATCGTCTGCTAATGGAAAATGTGAAATACAACTTTTATTATTTTATTTGAAAATCTAGATCGGAAACAACAAAAAAAAAAAACAAAAAACAAAAACTATCTGAAAAGAGTTACTGAACGTTTTCCGCATAACGTTTCTTCTGAATCTCATCTCGTTTTGCCATCTTCGCCGCCTTCTTCTCCTCGGCCTCCTTTTGTTGCAACATCACTTCAAATCTTGGATCCTTCGGGTCCATCCAATATCCGAAATACTCCTGAATGTCACGAATTCTCTTCTCAAGAGCCAGTTCTTTCTCATCCTTTTCTCGTTCTTGCTTCACTAGAGATGCCTCATACTTTGCGAGAGCAGATGGATACTTTTTGAGATTTTTTTCCAGCTCGGCTAGTCTGAAGTTTTACCATAATTATTTTGTTAGCTAAAAATTTTTGTTTTCGAATTATTCAGCTAAAACAGCTCAAAATTCACAAATCTCCTCACGTCTTCTAATGAATTTTGAATAATTACTATTACCTAGCAACCGCGGCTTCCTTCTTTTTCTTCTGCAACTCGTTGTATTCTTTCTTGACCTCATTAAATTCTCTATATAATCCCAGTGCTTGTTCTTCTTCAATTTCTTCAGCTGTTGGAAACAACTCTTCTACGGGAACTCCGCTAGCTAATCCATATCTTCCGAATCGTTCTCTGTAGGAGTCTCGTTCCCTTTCGAAATCGAATTGCAATGGTGGAATACCTCCTGATGCGATGATCCGATGACGTGGGCGAAGGCTAGAAATATAATATTGGAAAAATGTTTAAAAAAGAAACAGATGGAGAATACTTACAAACTGATATCGACTTTCTGCGTTGTTTCTTCACTTGCAGTTGTTGCGAATGTTCTTGCTAGACTTCTCAAATTTTTCAACATGCTTCTGAAACATCAACTGGTGTTTTTTGAAAATTCTTAGTATAAGGAAGAAATGAGGAAATCAGGTCTATTACTACGCGAGAGGAGCGCAAATGTTATCTGTGTGCTTCTCTAGCACCCTCTTCCTTCGTTCAGTGTTTTTGAAGACATTTCAAGAGGTAAATCATTATTTGAGAACACATACTCATACAATTGTATATACAACTGGAAAGAAAAATTTTCGACTGGAATTGTAGATGAAAGAAAGCAAGATAATATTCATTGATATAAGCACAAGTGAATTCAGACGATGAAGATCATAAAAATGAGAAGATTAGTTTTATATACGGATAAAGAGACGAATTATTCTGTTTCAGACTTGATATCTGCTTCATTCTTGATATTCTGGATATTTATGATATTTTCCGAGATTTCCCATACCTGAAATTGAAGATATAAGCTAAAGTGACACGGTGAATCTGGTTACCTGCAATTTATTGAATTCGTCACTGCTACAAATGGTCCATGGGCGATTCGAGTTCCACGAGAAATCAGCTACCTTTCCAACATGTCCAGCATGAACGAACAACACTTCCGGTGGTGGAGACGAAGAAATTTTAGAAGAATTTGATGACGGGTCTTCAATCTTCGAAAGATCCCATACAATGACTCGACTGAAATAACACTACATTCTCTACTGTCAAAGTTATAATATAAACTAACTCATCGGACCCACTGCTAGCAAGAACAGTTTCGAAATGTGGACTGAATGAAACTTGGAAAATCTCATTTTCGTGATGTTGAAGAGTGTAAACCTTCTTTCCAAGATTTCTCATATCCCACAAAGCTACTGTCTTATCGGCCGAACCGGTGGCAAGAATGAACTCAGAAAAAGGATTGAAAGCGACGCAATTGACTTCGGCGTTATGTCCGATCGAAGAAAGTTGAGGTTTTGGGTGACGAAGATCCCAGAGATTCAATTTTCTATCATCTCCGACTGATGCGAAAACGAAATCATGAAGCTGGTGAAAGGATACATCTTCAACGTTCGATGAATGTCCTTTATATTTACTCTGTTGATTCAATTGTCCACTAATCTTTTGATTTGCATTTATGTCCCAATGACAAACCTAAACAGATTCTTTATTTCAATCAGGTAACGTCTAAAGCCACTCACAGCTCCATCGTCACCTGCGGTGAGCAAGTGTCCTTCTCTTGTATTGCTCCACGACATACCATACCCTTCTCCCTCGTGTCCTTTCAGCCGTAGTTGCGGTCGAAAAGTACTATCCTGGGGTGTGGATGGATGCTTAGTATAATCGATGATGAACACATCATCAAAGGGACCTCTGGTAGCAACTACATATGGATTCTGAGGCATGTACCGCGCCCGATGCACTTCTCCTGGGTGATTGATACGAATCTCACCTTCCAGCTTTGCAGCACTTCCCGCTCCGTATCCGCCATACTCTTCCCGTTCAGGATCCCATTTCGAGTCATCGAATTCGGGTCCATCCGTATTGATAGAAAACTTTGAGATAATCAAATGATTTTGAACATCACCCGAAGTGTGTGTTCCATGAATTAATCGATGTACCGATGAATCAGAGTTTTCTGTCTGGAAAGAATAAGGCGATTCTTAAAAATCTGTCATTCCTCACTTTAGTCACGTCAGGCATCCACTGAATGGTTAACGATGGCCATTCGAGTTCTTTTGTGACCATTGTGTCATATAGATACGGAACATTTTTCTTCCATACTCGCTGTTCCCGGGTTAATTCTTCGCAGGAGCCGGCCTCACTCATTGTTGTCTGAAAACTTTGGTTTCTAATCCGTTCTTGTTGAGAGAACTTCAAAAATAATTGTGTGAGTAATCTCAACATTCAACTTCACAAGAATTTGATAACAGTTATTGCAAAGATATCAGATTTATCTCAAATTCAGAATACTTTCGATCATAATACGAGGAAAATATAACATTTTACAGTTTCAAAGAGTCAGCGGGGGAATATGCGAATATTGTTAGGGAGGAAATTTTCATGTGAGATACAAAAATAAGGAAAAGAATGCTTTTAGCAATAAATTAAGACCGCTCAACCATATCGGCGGGAGTTTCGTCTTCGACATCGTTGTAAATGTTGTCAGCCATCTGCCAAACTTGCAAAATGTTATCTTCCGAAACACTGCAAACCACCCATGGTTCGTTAGGGTTCCATGAGAAATCGCTGATTTTGGCAGTGTGCCCACCATGGATGAAGAGGAGCTCAGGTGGTCCATCCTCAGCATCCTCAGCAGTTTGATCTTCTCCGATTTTGGACAGGTCCCAAACATGAAGTCGTTTGTCAGTTCCGCTGGATGCGAGGATGGTCTCATTATGCGGGCTCCATTGAACTTGGAAGATTTCGTCGCGATGAGATTCGAACGAATGTAACTTGAGACGGAGATTCCTGAGATCCCAAAGCGCGACAGTTTTATCGGCTGAACCAGTGGCTAGTATGAATTCGGAGTATGGATTGAAGGCAAGGCAATTAACTTCGGCTGAATGAGCATCGATTGCATGTCCTGGAACGTTGGTTCGCAGATCCCAAATGAGCCTTAAAATTGAAAAATTGATAAAATCTAACATTTCTAACGACTTACAATTTCTTGTCATCTCCGACCGAACCAAAAACTCCGTCGTGCAAAACATGCCACGCAACGTCTTCAACGACAGATTCGTGCCCCTTGAAGATTTCTCTCGCTTTCAATTCGCCGTTTGCCCCAGCGTTTCCGTTAATATCCCAGTGACATACAGTCTGGTCGTCTGAAGCGGAAAGAATCAGACCTTCTTTATTCGGGTTCCATGACAATCCGTATCCCTCTTTAGTATGTCCTTTGAGTTTGAGCAGAGGATTGAAAGTGTTGTCCTTTGGAACAGATGGGTACTTTGTATAATCGAAGATATAGACATCGGCAGATGGAGATTTTGTGGCAATAATGGTTGGCTTTTGAGGCATGTAGCGAGCACGGTTAACTTCTCCCTCGTGATTGATACGAATATCAGGTTCAACCTTTCCGTTCACAGCTCCGAAACCTCCGAACTCACCGCGTTCGGTGTCGTAACGAGACGCATCAAATTGCGCTTCATCTGTTGGCATGCAGATTTTTGAAATCAAAAGATGGTTTTGCTCATCTGATGTATGCGTTCCGAGAATAAGTCTATGAACAGTATGGTCGCTACTTTCCTGCAAATTGAAACTTTCTTCCCGTTCATTCGTGTTTTGAATTACCTTTTCGATTTCTGGAAGCCATTGCACGCTCAACGATGGCCATTCGAGTGCGTGCGTCATAACGAGATCATACAAAAACGGAGTGTTTTTCTTCCAAATTTTGTATTCATCATTGGCCACACGATCCTCCGAGGTACCATCCTCTATGGTTGCCATTTTCTGAAAAATAACTATCTTGCATGAAACAGGCCGGTAAAATACAAAATCTGAAGAAATAAAACAAAAGGGAGCTAATTTTCGAAGAATTATGGTTCGCTTTTCAACAAATGAACATACGATTCGGTTGGAATTAACAAAGGAGTGGAAAAAACGAAAAAGAGTATAAAAATGCACAACTGAAGAATGAATATCACTGCAATTCATATTCAATAATTCGGGGGCCATAAGAACTTCTTCGTCGAGAGTTGATGGAAGATCCAAAATAGAGTTGCGAGCTGGATCTGAACGCGATGCCAACGTACACAGAGTGACGGCTGGCATTCTTTTGATGTTAAATTTCTCGTGCTCCCATGCACTGGCAGTTGTCAATGAAATTTTCTTTGTGACCAACTCGGTTTTCTTGTTTGGAGCGAGTTTACTGAAATAAATTATATTGGCATTTGGTTTTCACATAAAAAATTACTTGAGCCTTTTGAAAAGTTGAGCAGCAGCGGAGTTCTC